TCTAAACTACTATATAAAAAGCTTCAAAATCAAAAGGTAAAAAGAGAAAAGGAGAAAAAGAAAGAGAAAAATAGAAGAACCTTTTTGCAAGTATTTGCATTACACATATTATTTTTGTAAAGTTCTTTGTACTTAATTTGTTGTATCACATTTTGATAGGAAGACAAAGCAACCTTATAAACCTTAATAACTCTAAGTTATTGGGTTGAGCCTAGAAAGGTTTTTTTGTAAAAGAATACTTGTTGTTTGAACATTGAGAGACTTGTTTGTAAAAAAAATACTTGTTATTTGAATCTAAAGAGATTTGTTTATAAAATAATACTTGTTGTTTGGTCACAGAGAGACTTGTTAGTAAAAGAATACTTGGTGTTGAAGCATAAAGAGACTTTATGTGAAAAGAATACTTGGGTAGATTGTTTGAAGAGACAATTCAAAGAACTTAAGTTTAAGTCAAGTGACTTGTTGAAAGAATACTTGTATCTTGTTTAACATAATGGAACTTAATCTAGTTGGATGAAGAACTAGATGTATTCTCAGTAGTTGAGATGAACTAATATAAAAATATCTTGTGTTTTGTCTACCCATTCAATACTCTTAACTATTAGCATAAATATTTCACTATTTGAAAAAAATAAGAGTTTTCGATTGATACTATTCAACTCTCTTTCTAGTGTATATATTTTTTCCGCACAAAAACTAATGATTATTCAATTAAGTTATCATTAATTTAATTGTTAAATTTAACAATTACTATTAATTAATTTAGAAACTAAGGTTGTAGTTAGATTTCTCCTAAAGGGCTTTGATTGTATGTTTGTCTTATTAGGCTACCATTTTGCAACAATGCAAATAAGAAATTAAATTTTCAAAGTACTAAAATAAGAAGGATTTTTTTTAGCGCAAGTATAAACTCTAAATTTTAAATCCTAATCGTAAATAAAAATGGCAACGAGTAAGGTCTCGGTAAGTTCCTATAATCTTCATCCTCATACCAACATTTAAAAATAATACATGTATCGATCTCATACCTACACGAGTAACAACTTGATCCTAATACCATACCCATACCTAGATACCCATACTTATAACTTGCACTTTATTCATATACGAAGTTAATAATAACAAGAAAAAAGTATTTAACTCCCTAAACTTTACCCTTTTACAAGTAAACATTACAAAATTTAATTTTAAGTCAAATACTATTAAGTCTTGAAAGTGCATTTGCTGACACTTTAGTTCCCAAAACTAAGAAAATTATAAATAAATTCTTGAAAATTCTAGTTGTTTTATTTAAGTTTCTAAAGTAACTACTCATTTTGTTTTAGTCCTTAGATATACGTTGATATTATCATTTTAGTCACGTGCTTTTTTTTAATTTTAATGTTTTAAACTTTCATAGACCAAAATATCAGTGATATGCAATTTTAATACATTTTGTATTATTTTAATTTTTATACTTTCAAGGACCAAAGTATCAATGACATACAATTTCAAAGATCCAAATGATTTTTTACCCTTGATTATATCTTAATTGATTCTTAAACCTTATCCTCATAAAAAATAGATGTTATAAATTATCTTAATTTAACCAAATTTTATTTTTGTAAATAAATACCTTAATTTTAATTAATTCTCAAATTTCTTTTTAAATTATCTCTTATATTATATTGGAATAAATCACCTTTTGTAACTCTAAAAGTGCATATCACTCGCACGTAAGTTAATGATAGTAAGAAAATTATGAATAAATTCTCAAAAGTTCAAGTTGTTTCATTTAAGTTTTTAAAAGTAATCACTTATTGTTATTCTAATCTTTAACATACATTAATATTATTTAAGTTAGTTTTATTTATTTATTTTGGACTAAAGTGAATAATATTTCACACGTTTTGGGATACTTTTTGATTTTTACACTGTTTGGAACTAAAGTATTAGCAACATATACTTTTAATTAAAGACCTAGATAGTATTTTATCCTATTAAATTGAGACTAAACTACTTAAAAAAAATTATTAATTTATTTTAAAATCACACTTATTTTATTTTATTTTTTTATATATTAATTTTATTTTCATATATCACTTTTTTATATATAAAAACATCATAAAATTTAAAATAAAAAATTAAATAAAGTTTTTATTAAGAATTATTTTTATCATTTTTTTTTCTTTGTAAACTCATATTTTATTATATTTTAAAAATAATTATAACAAAATAAATTATTAGTATTTAAGATTAATAATTTAACTATAAATTGAAAACAAAAAGTTGTTCATAAAAAATAATAGCATTTAAATATTAATTATAATAAAATTAAAGTCAACGATTTTTATTTGTGAAAGAAGTAAAGTCTAAGGATTAATTAGAATAAAATTAAAATTTATTGTATCTATTTACAAATGAGATAAAGCGTAAAGATTGATTAGAATAAAATTAAAATTTAGGATGCTTGTAAAAAAAAATGTAAAGTTTAGTGTGAATAAATATTCTTTCTCCATAATAATAAATCAATAAAAAATTTAATTAAAATAATTACTACAATTATATTAAAATTTATTCTTAAATAATGCAAAAATAATCTTAAAAAATACACATAATATTAAAAATAAACAAATATAATAATAATTTTTTTTTGTAAATAATATAATATTAGAATTTACCTAGACTTATTTTGTTCAATAATTCATGTTTTACATTAATTTTTAACTATCTAACAGTTGAATTTAAATTTTTTAATGTATAAATTAAGTTTACAAATTTAAAAAAAAAATTAAAATCATACTTCATTTTATTAATTCAAATTAACGTATAAAATGATTTTATGATTATTCGTCAATTTGAATTAATGAAATGAAGTATCAAATAATTTTTTATTTTTTCTAAATTTGTAAATTTGATCTATGCATTATCAACTTTAAATTAAATAGTTAAAATTTGATGTAAAATATGAGTTATTAAATAAAATAAATTTACGTAAATTTGCTCGTAAAATAAACGAATCTCTCTTTATATATATTATTTATTTAACTATATTCACATATAACTAATGCAAGGCCGGATAGTAGTATAATACCCAAATCTGGATTCATATCTGCACAATTTTGCGCATATATATCCACCTCATATCAAACATAAATTAAATTGTGGATCTCGATAAAAAAAAATTAAATTGTGGATAAATATCAATCTTCTTTACACAAATAATTTTATGAGCACTCAAAATCTTAAAATTTTACTACATTTTATCATCCTTAATTGTAAATTAAACACACTTAAGATTTTACTACACTTTATCATCCTTAATCGTAAATCAAACACACACTTAAATTTGGTGATATGTCTGATTTCTTGTTCAATAATTTTTGTCCACATATATTTAATATCTAATCAATTTCAAATGTAAGCAATATTAGAGTTGTTTTTAAACCCAATTTATAAAACGTTCATTCAAATTTATATTTGTGAACTTTAATTCAAACATCCAAAAAGCTTAATGGTGTGTTTGGATGTGGAATTTTACAAATTCAAAGAATTTAAAATTCTTGGTATTTGAATTACTTTGATTTCAATTTCTATCATTCTTAAAATGTTTTGTTTGGGTAAGTCAATTTAAATTTTTTAAATTTTAAATTATTAGTTTGGATATGATAATTTAATTCTACCATGATAAAATTGAATTTAAAAATATATTTGTATATTGAGATTTTTAAATAAAATTTATAAAAATAAATATTAGTCAATTTTTAAATATTTAATAATTTTAAAAATTAATATTAGATAATATTTAATAATTTTAAAAATATTTTTAAATTTTTAATAATTAAAAACATGAAGAGATAAAAGATAAAATAAAATATATATGTGAAATAAGAAAAAAAAATATGAAAAATTTTAAATTCTTATTTTTTTTTGAGAGAATTTGAAATTCTACTATTTCAAGAAATTTCACAAATACTTAAATTTCAAATTTCTTATAAATTCTCCATTCAAATAATGTATTTGACCTAAAAAAAATTTGAAATTCTTCAAATAAATGAATTACTTTACTTAAATTTTCCATTCAAACACACTATAAAACCATTTTTATGTCGATACTCAGAATTCTATTTTCCTGTCATTTTTGTTTGTCTTTAGGACAGCATGGTTCATGATACCTGCAAACTCCATTTCAAATCTTAAACAAAGCACAGTAAATAAAGAGACAGGTAAAAATTTAAGCACTAGGATATAATTTTGTCGGAACAGTTGTCCATTTCAATTTTCAAGTCTGTTTACTCTTTTTTTTTCTTCTGTTTTATCTGCATTGATATTATTGTTATTAATTAAAGAGGATGGTACGTGGAGCAACTAGTTAGGTGCACAAATTACAGCAGACAGCGCCATCCAACCGTTCCCGTGACCTTATTAACTCTTTAGACCAGTCACTGCTTCTTTTCCAAATCCCTTCAATACTCCTTCTATTAAATGCAAACCCCTGCATGTCTGCCAAATTTCGCTAACCTTTCTAAATCAACACCACCAGGACCGATTTGAATTTGAATTCTCATTTCACCCATTATGAAGGTTGTATAAATAAGGTCCCAGATATGCAATAAATATACGACCCAAACCACTGCTCACTACTCACCTTTTTCATAAAGGCTTTATTAAAGTTCACATTATTTCCTCGCGTTATTTTTTTCCCCTAGACTTTCCTACTCATTAACTAAATTAATTTTTCATTTTCTTGGCCCAGCATGTGAAAATATTGAGTGGATTCTCAGAAAGTAATTTTGGAATCATCTCAGGAAGAAGGACCAATGCCACAGAAAACACGTTAAATGAGTTTATACAAGTTTTTTTTTTTCCAGTTGGCATAGTATACAAAAATCCAGTTCTGGAGGGTTCTTTATGTTTGACTTTTAGTTGCTTGTGTCATGTATCACCAAAAATGGTTAGTGTCCTTACATTAGAATTCAACACCAAAAGCAATTTTAGTTTGAAGGATTATCACATTATTGCATGAACATAACTACCGGTGATATGATTAAGAGAATCAGAGAAAATTTACAAAATATTACAAGATTACAATATCAAGTGAAAACTGAAATGTAAAATGTTTGACAGAGAAATCAACGATGAGGAAACTAAAAGAATCTTCTTCTACATTTTTTTAACCCTCATCCGCGTTGGACTAATATTCAATGGAACAGCAACAAATTCAAAGCAGAAACACTGTATTCAGATCTCCCAACTCATTTCACCTTTCCATTTCTCTTGCAACTTTCTACCACTAACATTCTATTTAACAAATTTAGATTCCAGAACTATAAAATCAAAGCAAAAAATGGTTCCAAAAAATAAATAAACTAGCAAAAGAGATAAACTAGAGGTTGGAGGCAGAGTGAACAACCTTATTCTGTCTTCCTGTGAGCCAAAGTAAAGTCCTTCTAGCAAAAGATGGCGCCCTAGCTTGAGAATCCATGCTATAACAACTCTGGTTTTCCTCATCATAGTCGAACTCACTTCCTCCTCCATTTTCCCACTTCCCAATATCCATCTCAGAAATAGTACTCCTTGTGTCAAACTTGCAACTCTTGACCTTCAAATCATCATCAGCACTACCAGAAGCAGCACCAACACTAGACTTGACTGGGAAGCGAAATGAAACAGCCCTTCTAGAAGAATCCGCCACTGCATTTGGCTTATCCTTCTTCCCCCTAAGCCAAATCTTGGATATAGAAAAACTCTCCTTTCTGCTCCTTGCAATAGCAGCACTATTCCCATTACAAACTGTACTTGCAGCCCCAGTACTACTAGTAACATCATCCTCAACTATAGTTGCATCAAAGCCTGCAAACTTGAAATCCCTTCTGGATTCACAGTCGCATTCTGACATTGCAGGTCTGTGCCCTGGAGTCAACGGCAAACCAGACTTCTTCTTACTAGATTGCTTCTTCATAGGAGTTCGTATGGGCACTTGCAATGAGGAAGTCTCATCCATAACATAAGCAAATGACCCCATAGAAAAACACCTTCTAGCATCCACATTGTTGGTACTAGTGCTACTACTCCCTTCCCCTACTCCACCTCCAACTCCACCTCCACCATCCACACTTCTGAACTTCCCCAGCTTCACAGTCACCACTTTGTCCACACCTTTTGGCACTGTTGGATCAGGATTCTCACTTACCAACAACTCACCTGATTTCAAATCCACACGGGTTGATCCAAATTCACTATCTCCACGGCAACCAATGCGAGAATTTGTTGTCATAACCGAACTGGTCCTTCCAACAGCAGCCTCGGGAACAATCTCCCTTGAGCTCTCACTCCCAGATTCCAGTACAAGAACAATAGGAGAACATGTGTTGCTGGCAGAGAACTCAGGGAGCAAGGTGGCTCTACAAAGAGGACAAGTAGAGTGAGACAAGAGCCAGGTGTCAATACACTCCATGTGAAAGGCGTGGCTACATTTTGGCAACAATCTTAGCTTGTCCTCAGGCTCAAACTCACACAAACAAACGGCACAGTCAAAGGGGTTCTTGAGTCCTATGATGGCCTTGTAGAGGAACACAGGGAGGGTGTCAATGAAGGACTGGTCAACCCCAGCATCATGGAGGTGGAACAGTTGCTGCAATTGGCCTTGGAGAGCAGTCACATTGTCCAAATCATCAGGCTCTCTATTTTGGGGCCTCCACAGAAATCTAACCAGCAGGTGCAGCAAACCAGAAATGAAGAAAACAATAGCAAGAATTATAATGATCAGAAGGATGCTTGGACTAACCTTCAAGGCCTTATCGTTCAAACTGAAACCATCAGATCGAACAGTGGGTGGAAAAGGAGGGTTTAGAAAATATGGTGGCTGTTCTGGTGGAGACACAAAACCATCACTCCTACCCATTTTGTGAACTCACAAAAGATTGTAACTTTATTCAACTGCAAATAAGATTATTCAGTTTCCAGACATCATTTGGTGCCATAAGCAAAAGGGGAATTGGGAGTATTTTTCCTGTTGGATGCAAAGAAAAAAGTGACGGTGGCAGGGGAAGGGCACTATGTAGGTGCAAGCTTTTGATGGAGACAAATGTTTACCTCATATTTAGCTTTAGCTTCTGTCTGAAAGTCAAAAAAAAAAAAAAAAAAAAAGGATCAGTTTTTGAAGCTAATATTTTAAAGAGGTTCTCACTTCTCATTAATAAATAAATAAATAAATATTACAATGATTTAGAAATGTTAGATGAATAATTTTTGAATGATAATCACAAACAAACTTGTCACTGTGTGAAATTTAATGAGATTAGGTTGGACCTTTGAACAAAAATCATCATCCTGCATAATTAGCGGTTTCTTCTTGTTCGCTCGGATGAATGTATTACTTGAATATTTATCAAATTACTGACTTTTGCATACAAATTGTAAAAATAAAAATTACTAATAAATATTTTCACTTCATTTCATGTATAGGAAACAAATAAATAATTTATTAAAATTATTAATAATTTTTTTTAATATCTTTTCAAATCTTTGTAATTTTATTTACTTTATATTTTAATTATTATAATTTAAGATATATTTTTTTAATCTTTGCACTTGCAATTTTTAATTCTTTTAATTTTTGTTATTAATTTTGTTTTTTAACATTGTCCCTTTTTTACTAACTATATAAATGTATTGATTCAATTTTATATATCTTATGACAAATTTATTTTACTTTAATTATTTTAAATCATGTCTCTCTTCATTTCTTTTTTATATTTTAACCAGTAATGTCCCTTGTTGAAACACAATTTTTTACCTTTATAAAATTGAAAACTTCAATCATATTAATACAAAATAGACAAAAAAAAGTAAAAATAGAGACTAAGGATCAAAAAACAAGAAGTATAAGGATTAAAAAATATATCTTAAATTATAGAAACTAAAAAGGATTAAATAAGATAAGTATAGAGTCTAAAAAAATTTATTTTAAACTATTGGGACTAAACAAAAAAGTAAAACAAAAATTAAGTGAAATCATAAGATTTAAAAAAGTATTCTTAATATTATTTTTTATTTAATAATGTAATAATTTAAAATTTGACTCTATAAATACTCATAAAATGAAATGATATAAGTGATAGTTATATGGTTAAAATACTTTTTTGGTCTTATAATTTCATTTACTTTATCTTTCAATCCCTATAGTTTAAAGTATACATTTTTAGTTTCTATACTTATATTTTTAATTTCGTTTTAGTCCTTATAGATTAAGACAAAACTTTTTAGTCCCTATACTTGTACTTTTGTAATTTTTTTAATTCTTATCGTTAATTTTCTTTTGTAACGTTGTCTATTTTACATAGATGTAATATAGGTCTTCAATCTTTTAAAAGTAAAAAAAAATGTCTCAATAATGAGTGTTATTTGTGAGAATACAAAAAAAAAATACACAAAATGACAAAAGACTTAAGTTAAAGTGACACCACCAAAATAAATTCGACATTAGACACACAAAAAATTAATATTTATATCACATCAACGCAAAAAACATAACATTACAAAAGAAAATAACAATAAAAACTAAAAAAATTACAAAATTGCAAGTATATAGGGGTTAAAAATATCCGTCTTAAACTATAAAGACTAAAAAAATTAAAAAAGATAAGTATGAAACTACAAATTATTTTAAATTATAAGAATTAAAAGGTAAAGTAAGTGAAATTATAGAAATTAAAATAGTATTTTTAATCTAATTATATTTAATGATACTAATAATTATAAAATCAAGGAATAAGCTTTTTCAACTACTCTCTTTTATCTCAAAATAACTGTATCAATATATTCTTTTTTTATGCAATTTTATTAAAAACGTTTCACACTTAATAATTGTATAACTTTTAATTGTGATGGTCAAAGAATTTATGAGTGAAAGAATTAAAAAAAAAAACAATTAATATTACATTAAAATTTAAGAATACCACTCCTTTTAAGACTTTGCTCAAATGTTAAAATTATAATTAATTTGAAATGAGAGAAGTAGTGAATATGATTTACCCCTCTGATTTCTATTATAAACAACAACAACAAAAATATACTTAAAATAAACAAATTTTAACTCATTTAATTATATTCTTTATAAAATATCTTTCCATTATTAATGCATGATCTTTTGACTGTGTTCTTTTTTTTTTTTACATTTATAACAAAGATCATTTGAAATAAATATTATAGAATTAGTAAAATTTAATGTAGATAATTATTTTTTTCAAAATGTGTGAATTCAGTTTTTTTCATCTTATAATAAATGCAAGTACTTTCATCAGAAAAATAAGTGAATGACTCATTAATCAACTCATATAGTTAAAAGTATAAAAAGAAAGGAAAATGCTAAGGACACTTGGTAAGGAATCATAAATAAAACAAAGATTAAAAATGTATTTACACATTCTTCTATGTAACTTTATCATAATTTTAAATAATTATATAATTATATATAA